GCGCGGAGGGATGCAGGCCCTGATGCAGAAGGCTTTGTGATCAATGTGAGTCAGATGCACACAACTTTGTGACATTTATCTCCCTGTACTGTAAACTGTTGTAACTGACAGATTTTTCTCCTGACATTAGGTGGAAGAACACAAAACAACAAAAACATTCGGAATGGCACAAACATACCTAACCAAGGAGGAGTTTGCGTGGTTGGAGCGTTGGGTGGAGCTGAGGACCAGGCTCAACCCACCCAACGACTACTTCATTTGGACTATGTCGCAGACAGCAGTGAAAACAATGGGGAAAAACCTCAAAACGGTGTGGGAAGAAATGCAGCTGCCAGGAAGTCCCACATTCACCGACATCCGGACGGCGGTGACCACTTACGTGAGTAGTACAGACATTTCTAAAGCTATATCTTCAAAACAAAGTCCAATGGCTTTTCCGACACAGTCTGTTGCTGTCTCCTCATCAGGCACGCAATACCCAGAATAAGGAGGTGAGAGCGCAAATGGCCAGGTTGATGTGCCATGACATCTCGACTGCGGAAAAATTCTACGCAATCCACCTCAATGCTTCGCAGGCAAAAGTGTTGAGGGATAGGTTTGAAGAGTCCACCTCACCAGAATTCCACGCATCTGTAGCTCCACTGCCACAACTACCACAAGCTCCCTCACCAAAAAAAATAGCTCCACAGAAATCAGCACCTCCTACAACAAAATCAGCCACAGAGTCAGAGTCAAGCGAAGAAAGTTTTCTTGTACCTTACGATGAAGGTGGCTTATCATCGGAGGAAATTACACCACCGGAGTCGGAAAGCCGACCCCAGTCCAGCTCTAGTGATAGCGATGAGCCACAGGGAACACTGGGGGAGGCTGAACAACAGCCTCAGGGGATGCAGGGTGAGGAAACAGGGCCAACCTTGGCCACCAAAGAGCATAACCACCCCACCAAAGAACAGGGTGAGACTCAGCCAGGGGAGGAAGCGTGGTCGAGCTTTGCCACCGAGGTGATTAAAACCCCCCCCAAAGAACAGGGTGAGACTCGACCAGGGGAGGAAGCGGGGCCGAGCTTCGAAGAGGAGCTAATGGAAACACCCTCAAAGGTGAGTTATGAAAAGCATTTTGTGTCTGTGTAGCTGTAATCTGGAATATATTTACATTATCTTTCTCTCCCTACAGCGGGATAGATATCGCAAGCTCATGGTAAAATTGAGCCCGTTTACTAAGCAAATGCAAGATGCCAGAGTGATCTCTTCAAGGGCAAGAAGAGCTCTTTTAAGAGCTACAAAGAAAGAGATGGAAAAAGAACAAGAAAAGAAGAAAATGGAGGAAGAAGAGCAAGAGAAGAAGAAAGAGGGGGAGAAAGAGGGGGAGTAGAAATAGTGTGTTTGTATTTAGTTAAAAAGATCATTTAGTAGTTAGTTTTTGTGTGTTTTAGTAGTTATTTTTATGTTTAGATTTAAAGATGTTTAGATTTAAACATTTTGAGGTGTACCTTGGCTCATCTAACTGTCCAGTTCTTGTTTATACAGACCATAACCCACTTGTTTTCATTCAGCAAATGCGTAACTCCAACCAACGACTGATGCGGTGGGCTCTCTATCTACAATCCTTTCATCTAGAGGTAAAACACATCAAAGGTAAAGACAACATTTTGGCTGACACATTGTCCCGTTCAGTATGTTGCTGCTGAATGGTGTTTCAACCCACCGTACAGCATTTAAGGGTGGAGGTGTGACATGCCCCTGTGTCATTTTACCTGTCTAATTGTCTGATGTCCTCTCCTTTCAGCTGATTCGCTGCTGGGAGGATAATAAAAAGAAATGAGCTCCACCTGACAGACGAGCGTGCGGCCTGAGGGGAGAAGTTTGTTGGTCCAGCGCTCCAGCCTCGCCGCCGCTCCACTTTTTTCCTCCTTATAGATACCTGGTTTTGGCCTGAGAGTTGCCAGCCCCTCTTTTTCCGGTTTTTGGTTGCAGGGTGAGACCCTGGACCGGAGGGCAAGGGGAGGTTGCCCGGATCCGACGGTCAACTGCTGGCTGGTTCGGGTTTTCCTCCCACCTCTTTTGTTTTGTTTTGAAGTGGGGCTTCCTTTGTTTTGTCCTAACAATAAATCTGAGTTCTTTTTACAAATACCTTTTTGTCTGGACATTATATGTTGTGCGTCCTGGATATCCTAGACCCTGGGACCGTAACAGCCTTCTTTATTTCATTCTGAATTTCCATTTTTAAGTAAATTCACCTCAATGAGGTTTCCTTCACAGAATGCTTTTTTTCTTTCTGTTCAGCAAGTTTTTTTCAATAATTTTGTCATTCAGGGTTTACTATTACCATTACTATTACAGACCTGGGGTCTCATTTATAAAGGATTGCGTGGAAACCATACTAAAAGTGAACGTACAACCAAAATGCGGAAATGGCGTACGCCAAAAAAATTCAGATTCATAAAACAGTGCGTATGCACATTTCTGCACATCTTTCCTTTATAAATCACAACCGCACGTCAGAGTTTGCGCACGAGGTCCTCCTCAGGTTCTACCCTCTACACGCCCACACTCAACCATAAACGGTCAATGTAAAGTACCTCATGAATGTTAAGATGTATTTAAATCAGTCAGCTGATCAATGCCAACAAAAGTGATTGGTTCAGACACGCTCTTTCGTGTGTCTGGAGGTTGACAGGTGCTGACTGACAGCTGCTCAC